GAAAAGAATCATACCGCGATGATCCAGTCTCGGACATATGTAGTGGACATCCCCACACGACGGCTGCCCCAAGAAGCACTCACTGGAAACCTGCGCAGCGACGGTCTCGCCAGCGCAGCAGAAGGGAAGTACTCGTAGAACCAGATTTACAAGGAGTTAAAATTATCAGCAAGAGCTAGCTAAAATGTAGAGCTAAACTTTATAGGGAATAATGTTTACCTCTACGAACCTCCAAAAACTGGATAGAGAAACATTCGTCCCAAAGGACCGGTGTCGACACAAGTCTTTCAGCGCACGAATGAAGTCAGCATAGGCCAAGCTGGCCCAGTCATAAGTCCCGATCCGGTGTAGATCGCGGTTAGCAGGAAGGTAGTGAATAAACGCCCTACTACCCTTGTCAGGGGAGAACGTCCCTGACAACAAAATAAGCGCAAAGATGCGCACACGCTGCTCTCGGGTGGTTGCACCATCATCGAAAGCCGCTGCCAGAGTCGAGCGGCGAATCCCCCTAGCGCTGAACTAAGACGACTCGACCTCAGCTCGTGCCCGAATGGTAATCGGCCCCAACAGCTCCTCGACCTCGGGAGAAAAGACGTCGATCCCACTGTCGAACGGCAGTGGCACAGAGCTGAACTCCAGTCATGTGATGAGACTGAAGTCGGTAGGAGTGACCATCATCTCACCCCAGGGAAAGTGGAAAGTGTTGGTGGTGTCCCAGAAGAAGTCCACCAGAGCACGCACTACATGGTGACCCCCGCTGGAGGCAACCATCGCCTCAGAGGTCTCTAACAACACAGTGAGACTGCAGGACTCCCATAGGAGCCTCGTCTCGACATCCCTGGCGATGTACATCTTGTACAAATCGCCCAAGCCATCACAGCCGGAACCGTGACAGCGCGTCCTCCCAACAGTCATGCCCCGTCTCACCCTCTCATAAATATGGTGGACGGAGGAAAAGAACAAGGTCCGCTCGTCCCACTTGGGGAGTCGACCAATCGAAGTGGACGGCGCGACGTCGTCCTCCACAGGCTCATGCTCCCGTCGAGTGTCTTGGGACCGTGAACCAGAGCCTCGCTGTCTAGCCATGCTACATTGTGCAGAGTTATCATAAATTAAGGTTCTATAGTATCTAAGGTTCGCCTAGCCGCATGATACTATGTTTGCAAAAAACAGAGTACGTAGTACTAAAACAGAGCACAAATTCAAATTGAGCATATACGGCATTTTTCAAGCAATCAAACAATTTCTTGCAATACTATAGTAATTATTGTGACAAATTGGACAAGAATTGCTAGCAAAAACACCAATAACAAGTCACATTGCATTCTCGACCTCAAGAGGTCCAACAATGGCAATTCACTCATTTGTTCACCAAATTAAGTCAAACAAGTCTCAAATTACTCCCAAGGCAATATATAAACATAATCAAGCAATTGCATGGCATAAAATTTGATAAATAAAGAGAATTAAGCATTCTAAGTTTTGAAATTTCATGAAATTCGAATATAAACATGTGCAAAATTCATAAAATCGGTGTGAGTTCGAAGAAAACTTACATAGATCAGGAAAATGGATGAAAAGAGCTTTGATTTGCAAAAAATTTGAGTGAATTTGTTTCACAAACGAGCAAAAACGAAGCAAATGAAATTCTGCGAATTTTCGAGCAAACACGACGAGCAAAACAACAAAAATGAATAAGAAAGGTGTATTTAAGGAATACCCCGTTCTGGCGTCAAGCTCTAGGCTTTGGCATCAACAATTAGGCTTGGCGCCTGGCGCCAATCCCAGTGTCTGGCGCTAAGGCCTGTTGTGTGGCGCTGATGCTTTTTTAGAGGTGTCAAGACACTCAGCCACTCAGTGGAGTTATTCTATCTTTTTGCAATATATTTTGGGCTCCTTGGTATGCCAGTTAGCCCCTCTAAGCAATTTGACACGATTTTTAGTAATCGGCTTGATTGCACAAAGTGATCGACCTGATTAAAGATCGTCTCACTTAGCTGAAAGCGCCTAAGCATTGGCTCATTAACAAAAGGCACCGACATAGTGGTTCATTCGCAAAAGGCACCGACGTACAGGTTCAAAGCAACAAAAGCGCCGACGTACAGGCATAGCGGGAGCAAAGTTCAAGCGAGCTTTTAAGAATCGACATGCGGAGATCTTCGGTAATTTCTTTGGAAAATTATCGCAACAAATGAGGATGGCTTCAAGCGAGGATATCTTCGACGGCATTCCCTAGATTGTGGAGAGTTGTCACAAACAACTGAAGGTAATTTGAAGAGAAGTTGTCTTCGACCATGTTCCCTTAGACGTGGAAGATGGTCATAAAGGGGAAGAAGATTGTTTCAAGCGAAGCACTCTTCGATAGTATTCCCTTGGACGTGGAATATTATCAATGCGGAAGAGGATTGTTTCAAGCGAATTAATCTTCGATGGTATTCCCTTGGACGTGGAATATTATCAATGCGGAAGAGGATTGTTTCAAGCAAAACTATCTTCGATAGTATTCCCTTGGACGTGGAATATTATCAAAGCGGGAGAGGATCGTTTCAGGCGAAGCAGTCTTCTATATTGGAAGCAGTTACAAGCGTAGCAGTTTTCAAGCAGGATGGCATTCTCTGGGCAGGAGGTCATCAAAACAACAGCAAAGCAACAACAAGTCGGTTACCTTCAGAGACGTGTGCTCGACGGTGCAAGATACGAGTTTCTTAACTCTTTTATCTGTTTAACTAACGCTAGTTTGCAGGTATCGGCGTTACAAGAGTGAATTAGAATCGCAGAACGTTTTAAATCATTCTCCGTCCCTATCGATACTTTGACTTTTGTTTTCAAAACTTGCATTTCTCCAAACTCAGTCAAAGTGGGGGCTTCTATAGACACCCATTTGTGTCTCCCCAAAACCAAACACAGTGATGAGTACCTTTGGCGTCGAATCATAATCGAATGAAGTGAAAGTGTGGAAAGTCTAGTGGTGCGGATAGTTTTAATTTCTTTTCTCTTCTCTCTATTTTTGAAAACTTATTTGAAGAAAACAGCCAATCCAGTTTGGGTAGTCCATGATATGGGTCCAATAGTAGTGTAGTTTGATGGAGCTTGGCAAGAGATTTCCAACGATATATTATAAGCCCAATTCCGATGAATATTGAGAAAGTTATGGCCAATTTACTAAACTGGGCCCGGTTTGAGCCTTATATGCGGCCCAATGATCTAGGGGAGGGCCTAATATAGATTTATCATTCCTAATTCAATTAGGAATGGTTTTAGTCTTCTAGATTCTTCTATAAGGTTCTTTTCATTCCTAATTCAATTAGCATTGATAAATTGACTTTTGTTGACTTTTTGGAGTTTTAATTAAAATCAAAGAGCATTTTTGAGGGAAATACGATTTTATCCTCCTGTACGGCTATTTTTATCTGATATTAAGAAAATGCGTGATTTTCTGAATCAACGCCAAACGCCAGCTGTAGCGCTTGGCGCTATGCTTGTTGCCTGGCGCCAGCATTGGCGCCTGGCGCCAATAGCCAGCGTTGGCGCTGATTCAGTTTTTTGTGCGCCAGACCCTGTTCTGATATTTTATCTTTTTGGATGATTTTCTTTTTAAATAACGTGCTAAAAACTCCGTTTTAATTCACCAACTCTCATCAAGATTCTTTGATTACTCTCTCTCTTTCTCTCTCTCTCTTTTCTAAACTAGCGTCTCTCAAATATAAAAATTCCGCATTCATTAGATCAAGAAACACCTAGCCATATTCGAAGTTGCCTTCGCCCTAGACGTGAAAGGTTTAATTTCAGAGGGTTTGGTCCCAAATCTCTATTTCCAATATTTAATTTAATTGTTTGTTTATTATTTTCCTTGAAGTTACTAACGTGTGTATTTTGTTATTAGAAAGAGGTGCGAGGCATCAAAGTAAGTACTTTAATGGTTTTTATTGATGTTATGATATAGAAATCATGCTTATATTGTTAGTTTAATTCCTAGTATCATGTCTAGGACAGGGTAACTTTAATATCAAGTATGATTAAAAGTATGATGCTTCCTATGTTCTTCCTAATATTTATGATTGTTAGTATTATGTTAGGGTTAAAGATTTGATTTTTATATGCTTAGTGACATGCTAGGGTTTGTTATTGATCTTGTCAGTATCATGCCTAGGATCTTGCTATTATTATGATTTAACATTATTATGATTATTTTTTATGATTTATGATTATAATTGTTATAATTATTGTTATGATTATTTTTAATTATGATTTGTTGTGATTATAATTTTATTATTTTGATTATTATTATGTTGCTTGATTATATATTGTATTTGCTTGATCACGCCTTTTATGCATGTTTAAAGGGAATTAGTACTTGTAATCACGCTTATATAAGATAATTAATAATGTTGTTTAGGGTTAATATGGTTATAATTCAAGTGATCGCCAATAATAGATTTGTTTGTGCATTAATATTCAACCAACATAGATAAACAAGTTTAGGGTTAATCCTATTGATTGTATGTTAGTCAGAAAGCGCACATGAATACGATCAGAATAAAGTAGAGGCCTATTATTAGGGCCGGTTCAATCTCTTTTAGGTAGGATTTGTACCTTCGTCCCCGAACCCTTATTTGGTTCAAGTCCTTATGGAGTTGACGATCTCTTGGATCGTTAAGGGGTGTAACCTTCACCCTGTGAATTGTTTACAAGTTCCTAAAACTTGTTGGCGACTCTTTTTCTCTATCTACTTTCCCTTTTGAACGCCACCGTACTTTAGTGTATGATCACAGTAGGGTTCAAGCTAGGGGTTAATGCTTGAAATTATTCCCTACACCCACATATATTAATTTAATATATTTTCTTTTCCTTTTTGGATTTATACAAGCTTAATTAAATTTAGGTTTGTTTTAAGTCCGATTTATTTTTTATTTTTTCTTTTTTGGAGGAGAAAGTCGGATACCCTCCATTAGTAATAAAAAGGATATTTTGGATTTTAACACCTTACAAAAGGCTGAAAATGTTTTTTAACACCCCCCAAAAAAAAACTTTTATTTTAACACCTCCCAAAAATATAAAAGTTGGAAGTTAACACCAGTTAACGATTTCCGTCACGGAAATTTAACGTGGGTCCCACAAATTGGCTTGAACTTCAATTTTCACCCAGCAAAACACGAAACTTCTTTCTTCATTGAATTCGCAGCAACCTTCTGCATTGAATTCTTTCTGAACCTTCATTGATTTCGCTTTTGAACCAAAGGAGATCTTGGCTGAGAAGTGGAGTGTAGGGTGGTGTCAACGTTGGAGAAGATAAGCTCAGGAGGGTTTCTTCATCATCTTCTTCAACTACAAAAGTGCGAAAGCCGCTTGAAATTCACAGAAAATAAGGTAAAATTGCTCTCCTTTGATAGCAATTTCGTCAATTACTGGTGCTTCATTGCTGTAAACCTTGCAATAATTGGGTAATTAGGGTAAATTTTGGGACCACAGTAGGAAAGCCTTGATAAATCAATTTCTGTAACTGACTATGCGACTTAGGTTAATTGGATTTCGTAATTGAAAGTAGAGATTAATTAAGGTGGTTTATTGTTAATTAAACTAGCAAGTGTGGTTTGTTGATTAATTTATGTTACTGAGCACCTACATTGGCTTGTATATGTTTATTTTCAATTTTTTTATGTGTTTGTTTGTGTGGCTGTGATGGATTTGTTTATTCGTATTGTGCATGTATAGTTACATGGCTTTTAATATGTTTTATATGTTTTTCACTGGTGGGTAGATAATGGGTGACAAGGATAGTTTGGTTGACATCTGCCTTAGAGTGGGAGGTGCTTTTGTCCCTAAAAGAGTAACCAAAAACAGGCAGCTGCTGTGTTGGTGTGGTGGTTGGTGTTACTGGAAGAGGAAGGTTCAAGTATCTAAGTTGGATGTGCATTTGATTAGAACAGCTGCAATTCATGGTTTTGTTAATGGTGATATGGATGTGCCTATGCATTACAGCTGTTGGTATAGGCAGAAGGGGAAAACCTTTAACACTGGGAAAAGGGAACTAGTTAACAGTGAAGAGGTTAAGGGCCTTTTGGAGACAGTAAATGAAGAGGGGTATGTTGAGGTTTTTGTAACAACAGAAGCTCCTAGTCAGCCCATACAAGAGGCCCAACCCAATCCTGCAAAGACAAAAAAAAAGGATAAGAAGGTAGAAAGTTCAAATACATCGACTATTAGGAGGAGCCCTAGGTTTAAGAAGACAGAAACTGAACAAAGGGAGGAGAGTCCACCTAGGAAAGCCTCAGCTAATGCTAAAGTGTTGAGGTTTGATGAAGAAAAGGATGATGGATGTGAAGGATCTGGTTATTCAAGTTCAGACTTTGTGGCTAGGTCCTGTGTGGTGCAGCCATCCAGAGGGAATACATTTGAGGTGCAGCTGAAGGATGACCAGGTGTTGGTTGATTTGGACAAGGAGACCTGCACATGTTACCATTGGGAACTCACTGGCATTCCATGTGTTCATGCTTATGCCTGCATATTGGATATGAGGGGTGACATAGAGGCTGTTGTTGACCCATACTATACCATGGACACATACAGGTCTGCTTATGAACCAGCTGTCCAACCAATGCCTGGCCCAAAGCACTGGGAGAGAGTCAGAATGAGGGAACCACTACCCCCTTCTGTTAAGGTGCAACCTGGGAGACCAAAGAGCAAAAAAAGGAAGCTTGAGCCAGGAGAATGTTCTTCTTCAGGTGGTCAGGCAAGTACCAAGAGGAAGAAGCAATGCAGCAACTGTGGGGGATATAGGCATTATGCCAAGACTTGCAAAGTACCTGCTGCACCAGCTACAGAGCTGATAAAGTCAGCAGGCAGACCCCCACTGAACACTCCTTGGATGGTGGAGGAGAGGAAGAAGAAAGAGATTAGGGCTGCTAAAAAGGTAACACAAGCATTACACCAACTCCCCCTTTGTTTTATATATGTATGTGTCTTTTCCATTGACTTTTTATTTTTATATGCATGTCATAGAGTGCAATTGGGGCTGGACCAAACAGCATAGGAAACAAAAAGTTTCCTCAAGAGCAAGAAGGTTGTCTGCCATTCAGCAAGCGCCCACAGCCACAGTCTTCCTCAGCTAAGCATTCCTCAGCTCAGCCATCCTCTAGTCAGCCATCCTCAGCTCAGCCTTCCTCAAGTCAGCCTGCCTCAAGCCAACCAAAAAGAAAGACAAGGTCTTCCTCAAGTCAGCCTACAACAGCCACAGGTGTTGTAACAAGGGCCAGGCTGCAATCCCTCAACAACCTTACTCAGTGATGTACTCATGCTGGATATCAAACATTATGTCTGTTGAACAATTTCAAACTTTTATTATGTACTCATGACTGGTTATGTAACTTGCTAGTTTTTTAGTGGCTTCCCTTAACAAATTTGAACAATTAGATATTGAATTGTAATGGTTGCATGGCTTTGATTGCCATTGAAACATGTTGAAGTAAGGTTCTTTTGTCAACCTGTACTTGAACTATCTTAGTGTTTCACATATTTCCCATGTTTTAATGTTTCACATGTTTAAATAGGTTGATTAAAAGACAAGGCATAAATAGGAACTTAGACAAGGCATAAATAGGTTGATTAAAAGACATATTTATAACACTTCAAGTCATTACAAGAAATTATAACTACTTAATACAGCTTACTATTACACACCCCTAGCCATTAGGAAAATTACACCCATTGACAAACCTATACAAATGGCCATGCCCACCCAACCAAAACAGCTGATTGAAGACACCTTCCCTTCATTGCACTCCCTGTTCATTCTCTTCCTGTCAGCGTTCAAGGCCTTGCATCTCATCTTCAAATTATCAACTTCATTAAGTAGGCACCTCCTTTGGCCACTGATTTCATCAACTTCCCTTTTCAATTCATTAACTTCACCCTTTAGCAGCTTCTTATCCAACAACAGGTTGTTGATAACCCCTGTTTGCCAATCTGTTCCATCAGGTTGATCAACCCATTCGAAAGCTTTGCAACCCCTTGTTTCTGTTATTGGGTCATAAAACTTACATGATATGAACTTCCTGCCTGGATTCTCCCTTGTCCAGCTAGTGAGCTTGGCCATTGGCACACCACACTTACATTTTCTGGCCTCAGGAGGGGAAGAGCTAACAAACGACATAATCTGCATCAATTTTAGATCGACAGTCACATTTACAGATTTGTACACTGACGAATTAACATTGACAGCAACAAAATTCATTTTTAATTTCATAATACGAAAAGCCCCAAATTCAATTTCTGACGAACCCTAATTTCGCAATTGGGCATTTAGATGCGTACATAACATAATCCAACCATTAATCTGAGTACGAAACAATTGCAAATAATAATTGAAGAGAATTTAAACCATAATTACCAAACAACCGAACAATTGACCGCACTCACCTGTTTCAGCAGCTTCAATCTGTTCCTCTTCTCAAAAATCGTGGAAGAATCGTGAAAGAATTGTTTCAAGTATCGTGCAACAATGCAATGCGCTGCTGCTATTCAATAAGAACAACGATTTCGTTCATTGGGGGAGAATCGTGCAAGAATGGTTCTTATATATCGTGCAAGAATCGTGGAAGAATGGTTCTTATATACAGATCTTTTAAAAATATATCCGTTGGGGTGGGCCCCACTAACAGTTCTGTTAACGGAAGATGGATTTTGGTGTTAACTTCCAACTTTTATATTTTTGGGAGGTGTTAAAATAAAAGTTTTTTTTTGGGGGGTGTTAAAAAACATTTTCAGCCTTTTGTAAGGTGTTAAAATCCAAAAATTTTTGCTCAAAATTAATCATAAATTTTTTGCACACACACATATGCACATAAAAATGAAAAATAAAATGCAAAAATATAGAATAGTCATAATAGATAATAGTTTGTGTATACAAATATGTCTAATAAATGAGTAAGTTGGCAAAGACATTAAAAAGTCAAAATAAAACAGCATAGGTACAACTATAGTGCTGGAGGAAACAAATGACGAGGGATGTTCATCATATCAAAGAACAGCGCAGATAGAGGAGTATGCTCCTCGGCAGCTCTGGTCTCGCCAGGAGTCAGAAACCTCAACTCAGTACCAGTCCACCCAGGGTCGCCCTGGTGATGAATCAGCAAAGGATGAGGCTGCGGAGGCTACAGTGACGACGAGCAAACCTTGTACGTCCCACCACCTACCGGAGCCGATGTTGCCTCTCCTTGGCCCATCGGCACAGTCCGTGCACCCTTAGATGAAGAACCTAAGCCCTCCACTGCCTCGGTCCGTGCAGCATCAGATCGGCCACCTTGGCCACCAGAAGCAGTGCAGCGACGCCTCGTGCCAGACCTGGCCGACTCTCTCCAAGCCTCGGGTCTCGTTCAAGTACGCGAAGGGATATGCTGTCCTTGCAAAAGTAAATAAAGTTAGACGCAAGGAAAATAGAAAAATAAACAATTGAAAGATGAAGAGGGTACCTCCTGAGCAGCGTCGTCACGACGGCAGGAAGCTACATTCCTCATCCTCACTAGCTGGCTCCGAAAGGCGTTAATGCATCTCGCCATCGCCGACACCACCTTGCGCAAGAACTGTCAAAAAACAAAGTCAGTAAAAATACAAGACGAATATAAACAAATATCAAGTAAATAACTCACCCGCGTCTGGTGACGAGGGATGGATTGCTCTACTAAGCGCTGATCCTCAGGAGCCGGAGGGATCATCTCCTCAATAGGCCCGTACATCCCTAGATAGCTGATGGACATCCGGGGAGGAACGAACTCATTAGGCTTAGTCTTGCAAAAAACATCCCTGACAGCAAGATAATCACAAAGATGCGCACCCGCTGCTCTTGGGTGGTCGCATCATCCTTGAAAGCTTCTGCCATAGTCGATCGGCGAACGCCTTTAGTGCTAAACTGAGTCGACTCTACCTCAGCACGAGCCCGAATAGCAATCAGACCTGTTTTGGGTGTTTTTTTCCCTTGGGAGAGTTACAACACGAAGACTGATCCGCTGTGAGCTTACCTGCAAAACAAACGGAGACACCGGTTGGGTGGTGCTCCGCCTCCGACGCACAAGTCAGTTACTTGAAACGGAATAGAGAGAACGGAAATTTAAGTGGGTATATGCTCGGATTCCAAGCTCAGGTCTTTCTCTGATGTAAGAGAATAAGGGTGTAATATATGATTGAATGTGTCCCCAAAATGGGGAAATATCTCCCTATTTGTAGGGTCGTTGGAAAGCGTGCCCCTACCTAGGTCACTTGACCTAGATTCTAGTGGGTTGCGCCGTTTTACGGCGCTCCTAGGGGTTTGGGCCTTTGAAAGCCACCATTTCAGAAACATATTTGAGGGCACCAAGTGTCAAGAGGATGTTGAGCCACATGGGCCATCCTGAGCTTGACACGTGGCGACCTTTCATAGGTGAACAGTAATGGGTAAAATTTTGAATTTCAAATCAAAATTTTCCCCCCACTTTTACTTTCTATAAATAGAAAATTACCCCCCTCCTTTTCACACCTTACGTTCATATTGACTTTTTAGAGAGAGAAAAAGAGAGATTTCTAAAGAGAGAATTTTCTCTGCTCCCGCCTGCTTAACAGCAAGTTTCAAGCTTCCGAGTGCTAGCAGTACATCACCCGGTTCACCGGCTGTAGCGGTTTTCAGATTTTCCAGAGTCAAAGCAAGGTAACCGCCTGTACCATTTTAGCTTTTCTCCCCTTCAATTTACATACCATTTTTTCCGCCTGTATGCCCGGTTTTCTTTAGAAAATAGAAAATATAAATGAGTTCCCATTCCACCCACTCGGCACTGCCTAGGACACTCAGCCGATCCCCCGAAACGGCTGAGTCTAGAACAAGGGGTGCCTCTTCTGGACTGTCGGAACCAATATGCTCATCTCCGAATTCCTCCCTCTATGTGTCTGTGCATGACACAATGGCCACAACGAAACAAACGGCCAGGCTCTAAAAGCCGGCGCACCATGAGAGTGCTAGCCGATGAGGTTTTCCCGGAAGGGGATCCAAGGAATTGGGAGGAGAGCGGATCTGATGAAGAGGCTCCCTCTACCTCCGGGAGCTCTGGAGTAAGAGAAGTGGACGGCGAAGGAGCCACCTCCTCAAATGAAGCTGGCGACGCTGAAGCCGGCCAGGGATCAAGAGTGGAATCCTCCGGCTCTGACCAGGGAGATTTTGCGGCTGACTATCAGAAGCCGCCCAAAGTTGCTGACCATCCCAACCCCAAAAGAACCTGGATGCTGCCAAGTAGCATTGCCCTTCTTAATAGCGGGTTCAGGGCTTTTAAAGAGAAACATCCATTTAGAAGGGGTAGGGAAGTTCTTGTCCCTCCGGCTGATGCTTACTGGCCTGGGGGGACGACATTGACCATGCGGATGACTACTTCATCTGCTATGAGGCAGTTATAGAAGCTGGCCTCCGGTTCCCCCTCCACCCTAGGATTTGAAAAATCCTCAAGGGGTATGATCTGGGGGTTTGGCAGCTCACCCCTAACTCGTGGGTGAACATATTAAGCTACATCGCCGCCTGCGAATTCCAAAACATGAACCCCAGTTTCTCCACCTTCGCTCACATGCACTACTTGAGCAAGGCTCCAGGCGGCCATGGGGCATGGTATACACTGACTACCTTGCCCCAATACTTGATGACTTTGGACAAAGTGTTCAAATGGTCCGGATGAAAGGACAAGTTCTATTTGATTTCCTCTCCAACCCTAAGACACAACCGGACACTACGCCGGTACAATACTGAGCCGGCTCTTCTTGGACGTAAATGCCCTCTCCCGGCACTATCTACTAAAGCCCGGGAGCAAATCATGGAGCCGGGAATTTTTGAGACAACAACTGAGCCCATGGGGGATGGGACTCACATCATAGTTCCCAAAACTGGATGCCCCATCCAGACTTCTTCAAAGATGAGTGCTTCTTGTCCTCCTGCGGACTGAGTACGATGTTTCCCAGGGGTAGGATACTTCTCATCCGGAATGATTTTCATTTTATTTTTATTGCAAACTTGACTTAATTTCTTTCTAACTTGACATTCTTGTTTTTTCAGAAGAAGCCCTAAGGATGGTTGACCAGGATAAGACTCCTGCTAAATCTGCGGCGCAATTGCGCAAGGAGGCGGCCCTTATCAAAAAGGCAGTCGTCGAGGCTACGAAGAAAGGCGGGGTAAGACCGCCTGACTTTATGTTTGCATTATATATATATATATATATATATATATATATATATATATATATATATATATATATATATATACCGGTTGGGTATACTTATATTTTGCTTCTTTCTCAGGAGTCCGCCAAGAGAATCCCTCGATCATTCTCCAAGCTTCTCAAAAGGCAGGGAGATGATCTGAAGGCTCCGGCTGCCAAAGCCGCAAGGAAGGATCCCCCCCAGAAGCAAAGTTCTGCCCAATCCGGTCGTCCAACGACTGGGGGCAAATCCCCTGCTGTTCTGA